TTCCAGCCCGTAGTACACCCATTTTATGGTAGGTTCATCTAGGATATATTGTGTTACTTTGTTTATGAGAAAGTCATGTGAGACAGTGTCAAAAGCCTTACTGAAGTTGAGATAGGATGATATCTACTGCTTCCTCCCATCCACAAGACTTGTTATCCTATCATCTGGGGAAGCTTCATACCGAATAGCTATGCTGCAGAAGGCATCCAAAATTTCGGTGCTCTTTGAAGGGCCCTGCTGTTTCTCAGGACATTAAAAAGAGGAAGAGCCCTTCAGTACAGGACTGGTGAAATCAGAAATATAGGGGGCGGGAAGCAGAGCAGAAATTACCCTATACCAGGGGCGGGCAAACGTTTTGGCCTGAGGGCTGCATTGGGTTTCGGAAATTGTATGGAAGGCCGGTTAGAGGAGGAGGTCGTGGCCCTCCATCCCCCTCGCCCCGCGGGACTCATGCCCCATCCAACTCCTCCTCTCATTCCTGACTGCGCTCCCGGGACCCCTGCCCCATCCAACCACCCCTTCGCCCTGTCCCCGACTGCCCCCGGAACCCCATCCAGCCCCCACTCCTTCCTGACTGCCCCCCCGGGACCCCTGCCCACATTCAACCCCCTGTTCCCACCCCGACCCCTATCCACACCCCACCCTCTGACCACCACCCCAAATTCCCCTGCCCTCTATCCCCCTGCTCCTTGCTCCCTTACCTCACTGCCTGGTGTACCGGAGGCTGGCGGGCCATGCTGCCACCACCACCACACAGCACAAAGCACCGGGTCAGGCCAGGCTCTGCAGCTGTGAGGCCCCAGGAGCTCACAGCCCCGCCGCCCAGAGCATTGCGCCGGCAGCGAGGTGAGGCTGCGGGGGAGGGGGGAACAACGGGGAAGGGAGCACAGCAGTAGAGGGGCAGGGGGCTAGCCTCCCCAGCCAGGAGCTAAGGGGCCAGGCAGGAGGGTCCCGCAGGCCGGATGTGGCCCACGGGCCGTAGTTTGCCCACCTCTGCTCTATACTGTTCTCTGTAAACAATAGTTTCTGATCTGCCTCAACAGTTTGTCACTGAAAAATCGTCAGTGTTTGTTACAGCAGGTAGGCTTGTAATTAGAATACACCAATTTCCAGTTTACAACAGGCACTATTGGGGCAGCCCTAAGAAGGCCATGTAACGGTTGAAGGACAATAGTGTAACTCAAGAAACTCCATTGGTGTACATTTTCACATAGACATATGGTAACAGTTACAAAAGTGCCTACATGACTTAGGAGCCTGTGTCCCATTTTCAAAAGTGACATAGGCATTTAGGTGCCTAAATCCTATTATCTTTCAATGCGTCTCAGGTACGTAAATACCTTTGCCCCTTTTTGAAAATAAGAATTGCCTCCTAAGTCACTCATATAATTTGTTTAAAATTTGTGGGATTCTATTTTTTCATGTAAAATGCTTCAGCCCCAATGCTTTATTTCTTCTTAAAATAATCCCAGAATCATTTTGTTACAGCCCAATGCTTATTGGTAACCTAGTAGGAAACTAGTATGCATATGCAGTGGAGGGGGGGAAACTGGTTATGAAACACTTCAGGTTTCCAAGAGGTTATTGTGAACAGTGAGTAAAAAACATATATATGAAAACTACCCCATACAGTTTACTGCATGATGGGAAAGTTCTACCTGGAAAACTGTACTTGGGATAACATGCATCTTTTTATATTAATCTCATAAATGAGTGAAATCTATTACACACTTTGTCACTGTTAACTGGGTAACAGAGTTGATGCAGTCTTCACTGCAACCCCAGTCATTACATGTATGAGGAGTGTACTTCACTATTTTCTTATTTCATGATAGATGAGCTCCCTAGAGTATGAGATGGGTTCTGAAAGTGCACTTCCCTGACAACACTGCACTGGATTAGAACAAAGGATACATCTAATTTTAGTACTGGGGAAGGGCAGTCTCTGCTCCACAGGGTACAAATCCATATTTGGAATACCAGAGGAAGAAGCTGGTACTGTCTCAGGCAACAGTGAAGTGTTGTCAAGAATGATTTTTCTTTCACACTTTACTTAATTGGTTTGTTTTCATTTCCTACATAGTTCTCACTCTCTGCAAGTCTCTGTTTCCCCTGACCTGTTCTGTTCTGAGGTGATAAGTGTGAGCCCAGAAAATAACCTCATTCTTGGGTCTTCATAGTGTCACCATCAACTTTCTGCTTAGGGGAGTCGTACCTATTCCCTTTAAAGCCCATCCACTCTGTGTTTAATCTGCTGGAGACTATGCTCCCCATTTCTCTACCTCACATTTCACACTGCTCCTGCGGCCCCAGCCTAGGGAGTGAGAATCCAAGAATGAAAACAGATGTGGACCTCCTGTAGAAGGCATTGCAGCAGGTAGGATTTTCATTATTTGAAAACATTACCGGAAAGTCTTGAAATTCAGAGACCTGATCAACCAGAAGGTGTCCAGAGAGCAGAAGTGTATGAAGTAAATGAACTTTGGCCCAAAATGAGGAAGCTGGAGTCAAATGGGACCTGACAGTATAATCTCTTCCATTGCATGGAACATTGCTATTGGGCTAAGCCGCATTTGTGCTTTGAGTTGGTATGTTGAGGCAGCAGTGGGCAGGGCATATGCTAATAATGACTTGGTAGGACACCTCCCCTTTTTGTAGAGCCAGATGAGCACAGCATCATCCTTCTGATTGTACACAAACTGTGGATGTGGTAGGCAGGTACAGTTTAAGCCTACTTGAGTTAAGACTTCTGAGCTGCTGATAAACATGAGGATTTCATTTCAGTCATATATAATAGGCTTGTTCCTGTGTTGGCAATGACCCATGTCTTCATCTTTTATGGATGGTCGGTGGTTAATAAAGTTATCACCATCAATGATTTGGTGAACAATAAGGCTTTCAACTTGGCAAGTATAACCAAGACTTGGATGAATGACACAGTGAGACCTCTGCTGTTGCATTTTTATCCAGCCAGGCATATGGTCTAACATGAGGCCAAGTAGGACTGAGAAGGTGTGGCTGTACTTTTTTCATCTGATTCATTTGATATTGATATTGTTGACCACAAAGTGTTGCTACGTATCTGTGCTCCCTTGCAAGGGTGGATGGAGTTGCTCTAGGGTGGCTGCTTATGTGAGAGGTCGTAAAGGATAGTTCTTTCTCACGTGTCCTAAGAGTTCTTTCATTCAGGGTGCCAGAGGATCTAGTCTTGTCACCCCAACTTTAGAAGGTTGGAAAAGGATCATAATTCAGTGATTAGGTGGAGAGAGAGAAGCCTGAAATTCATTTATGGTGGAGAAGCCCCAAATTCACTGATTAGAAAAGCTTGCTTGGAGGTAGAGCTGTGGATTAATGAATAAGATGAGTGAAGGGGAGAGCCTCGAATTCACAAATTGGGGCTGCAGCGAAAGAGCCCTCTATGCCTCAGTTCCCCATCTGTGAAATGGGGGTGATGGCACTTTCCTACCTCACAGGGATATTGTGAGGATAAATACATTAAAGATTGTGAGCATCTCAGATACTGTGGTGATGGAGGCCATGTAGGTACCTTGGGTATAGAGCAGTGGTTCTCAACCAGTGGTCCGAGGCCCTTTGAGGAGCTGTGAGAAGGTTTGGGGGGGGGGGGCGGGGCAACAAGCAGGGCCAGCATTAGACTTGCTGGGGCCCAGGACAGAAAGCTGAAGTCTTGCTGCATGGGGTTGAAACCTGTGTCTTGAGCCCCACCAGTAATGAAGCTTTATGGGGCGGGGGGGAGGAGGGGGGGTCCCTGTGGCATGAGACCCCAGGCAGTTGCCGTGCTTGTTACCCCCTAACACCGACTCTGGCTTTTATATGCAGAAAACAAGTTATTGTGGTATAAGTGGGCCGTGGAGTTTTTATAGGATATTGGGGAAGGTGGAGCGACTCAGAAAGAGAAAGGTTGAGAACCCTTGGTATAGAGCAGGTGTTGGCAACCTTAGGCACACAGCCCATAGGGTAATCTGCTGGAGGGCTGCAAGACATTTTGTTTACATTGACCATCTGCAGGCATAGCCCCCTGCAGTTCCCAGTGGCTGTGGTTTGCCATTCCTGGCCAATGGGAGCTGTGGGAAACGACACGGGCTGCAGGGATGTGCTGGCCACCGCTTCCTGCACCTTCCATTGGCCACAAGACTCCTCTTCACGCAGGCTGAAGCCCCAGCAGGTGCACCCCAGCTCTTGAACTTCTGAAGATTGTCATATGTGGCTTGGAGGGTCAATCAGTTTAGCCACCCCTCCTATAAAGCCTTAAATGGTTTGGGACCTGCCCCTCCCCCAGGAGTAATCACCTCTGATCACGTACCATACTATCACAATTAGGAGCATCATAAGCATCTAAGCTAGATTCATGTTGATTTAGAAAGGAGGAGGCTGTTAGCAGGTTTTTCACCAGGAATCGGCGTTGACTCTGGTACTTCCTCATGCCCCTCCTCCCCACCCTTTTGCCTGTGAGAGTAAGGACTTGCTAACCTTCTTCGCATGTTTCAAACCCATCTTCTTCATGACTGTTTGAGAAGGAAATAAGAACAGTGTTATTGTGTATAAGAGCCATTGTAGATTTATTGTTATAGTGGGCAAATATTATTATGCACCACGTGGGTAGTCAATTATATCTGACATATGTGTGGTGGATTTTATAATTTGTCTGCTTTAAAAATTGGTAGAAGTGCCTAGAGCCAGGGACAAGTGCTTCAATTGTTACTTGAAATAAATAAATACTGTAAATAATTGAAGCTGGCACTTGCAGATAATAATGAGAACTGTCTCAAGAATATAAACTGCTCTTGGTCTTAAAACAGCAGAATCCTTAGTAAAGTTGGTGAGATAAAAGCCTCAAAGAATTTCTTCTTTACAAACTAACTTACATGGTTTATGTTTAGTGAATTAAAATCTTCATCAGATATGACATGGAGGCTAACTACTAGGTAATATTTTACTTAACTGTAATGTCTATGTAATAGGAACTGTACTTGTCATTGCAGGTATGGTTACAAAAGTATGGCTACCTTCCACCAACTGACCCCAGCATGTCGGTGTTACGCTCTGCAGAGACCATGCAATCAGCTATAGCTGCCATGCAGCAGTTCTATGGCATTAATATGACAGGAAAAGTGGACAGGAACACAATTGAGTAAGTAACTGGCACTGAAGTGCTCTCAACTTCTATATTTCAACAAAATAAAATAGGACTGTAGGAACTTGAAAGCACATGAACTGCAATGACTGGGATATCCAAAGAGTGCAGCAATTTCAAAGGGGGAATGGAAATGTCTTCATTTTTTCTGCTCTATTTCATACTGGCCAGTTGGCAAATTTCCCCTGTCAGCCCCTTGCCCTCTGCTTTTGAAGTGTGATTAAAAATAAAGGATTGGAGGGTTAACTGTGGGAACGGCTAATAGATAACACAGAAGGCGACACAGAAGCCAGCTGATCATGGATAAGAAAAATGTCAGAAAAAGTATCCTGGTGGGCATAAACATTTCAAGGTGACTCTCCCTTTGGTGGAAAATCGTCAGGGAAGATTCCTTTCTCTTCCTCAATGCAAAAATATTTCAGGCTGTCCACTGGTCCATTCATTTAATGGTTTCCAGTACCATAAACACATGTGATTATTTTAATATAAAATAGATCTTTTAGTTTTGCAAGCTCTCTGAAATGTGAGTGATGTGGAGCGTATAATGTATGATTTCCTTGCCATGTTGCATTTTATATTGGTGTACACAGCCTAACTTGGTGCAACACCGTGATTGAAATGTACAAAGACATAAAGCAATGTCAAAGAAAAAGAATAATCATAAAAGGATAGTAGTGCACGCTTAAGAAAACGAACCTGGACACTTGTAACAAATAAACTGCTTGCTTGCCTTTTCTCTGTGGAAACTTAACGGGGATTTTATTTCTTTTTTTAGATAAGTTACTTTGCTTGAATATCAAGAGAGGAAAAATATAGCACCATGGCAATATATCCACTGGTTATTACATGCAAATGAATCCATACTCTTATTCTAAAATTAACAAAAAGCTTTCTGAAAAGAATTCTTCTCTCTTGTGCCCAGCCCTCCCCCCAATGTGGCATATGTTGTTATTCTTTCACAGTAAAATAGCTGACAGGAATGATTTTTCAATCACTTGGCAGTTTAGGAAAGGGTCTACCTAAACTGCTGATGCCAAAGAAGGATGGAAAAATCATTGTATCCCAATAGCACATGCATTATTGCACTGAAAAGCAATAAAGCGAAGCAGTTTTTAGGGCAGCCCTAAGGGGAGATGAGGGGGTCAGACGTCCCTAGACTTAGGAATTTAAAAGACCTTGTAACAGATAATGCAGCAGGAAGAGAAACAGAAAGTGTATGCTACCTTGTGAAATAACCAGGTTCAGAAGCATGTTTTGGATTCAGCCTCCAGAGTAGTGATTACAGATAAGGTTCCTTGCGGAGCTGAAATGATTGAGCTTTGCAGGGAGAGTGTAGCTGCCCCAACCACTACTGGGTTTTTAAAAGCTGCATTTGTGGTGGTTTTGAGGAGCCCCTTTATTCTGCTGGAAGGAAAAGAATCTGTTGTGAGTTGGTGGCAAGGGAAGGATAGGACGTGGCAAAGTAGGGGAAAGGTAGTGGCCGTTCTCTGCTACTGGGTGTCGAGCAGCAGATATAAAGAGCTTCTGTCTGAACGAAAAATATTTGGAAATGCCCAGAAATTTCAAACGAAGCTAAACTAAAGTGGGCACGTTAGCTAGAAAATTGGCAAGCCTGTCTTATTTCCGTGCCACATGGGATACAAGTAAAGTTGTCTTACACAGCAGTTCTAATCTTTTGTTTTGTGTTCTCTTGTATACTTGACCATCTGTCTTCCTCAATGTACGTAGTAAAGCATGATGTGCTTGTTCACATCCAGAAGCACACTGTACAAACTCTGGAATGTTGTCTTTTTCTCCTAGGCACATGTAAGCCACTTGGGGTGAGTTCTGCATTCACTTGCACACTTGCATTTCCTCTGACTTCAACTAGGTTGCATGAGAGTAATTTGAAGGCAGAATCTGGCCCATCGGGCATTTATGTTGAGAGACGAGCATACATACAGGGCCAAAGCTGGCCCTCAGTTACATCCATTTGACATTTGAAATCAATGGAAGCTCCATCTATGTAACTAATAACAGAATTAGTCCTTTTAAATTATTCAGATATTGTAATATTTTGGAACAGTCTGATCTGGAGAGAGGAAACACTTTTTTTTCAGCTAGAAATATCTGACAATTTTACATTTCTTCCTTTGTGGATAATAAACCTGGTAATAAAAGTTTGGGAACCAACAGGCGACACTCACTGTACAAAATAAATACTGCAGTGAGGACCTAGTAGAAGCTCATGCTCAAATAAATTGGTTAGTCTCTAAGGTGCCACAAGTACTCCTTTTCTTTTTTGCGAATACAGACTAACACGACTGTTACTCTGAAACCAGTAGAAATAGAGTTTGTTCTCATCTTGTTGCACAGGGCTTTACCTGCCTATTTCCCATGCATTGAGAAGAGATTACCACTTAGTCATCAGAGGACAAACAATTAAAAGAGCTTAATACAGTTGCTTGACAGGAACCAACTTTGGGAATATTAGTAGAGAAATATATGCAGCAACAGCATCATCAAAAGTCTTTTGGGAGGACTTTGTTTTTGTATAAAACAAAATATCCCTTAAGGAATATTTGGCATACAAAAATATTATAGGAGTTCACCTGTCCCTTTTTACATGCTGTTTCCATAATGGCCTTGTTGATGTATTTTGGAATTTGTTTATCAGGGAACTTGAGAAACCTGATAACTGTTTTATAGATGGGGCCTGGGAGAAAGAGGTGGAAAAGAAAGAAATCATTGTAATGACATGCCAACAGGAAGGAGATTGTATCCAGTAAAAACATTGTTTGGCGTTTTCATTAGTATTTTACATGATGACATCCATATATTAATATCCTCAGTAAACACTTCATAGAAATGATGTTTTCAAAAGTTAACGCATTTGATCAGTTTTCTACATTTTCACTTGCCTGAAATAAATCAACGAAAGTCTAGCTTACTGTAGCAATCTATGGTAAAAAGAGTAGCTATGCCATTCTGCAGTCATCTGATGTACATTTCTGCCAAAACTGTATTAATTAAAACACAGATACCCTAGAATAAGTGCTCTAGTGTAGAACATTGCCTGCCCCAGTGATAGTATTATAGTTCACAAGTTTCTAAATAGAATGTGATGTTTGACGAAGTTCATGAAAGAAATGTTCTGTAATTTTTTTTAAGTCAAATAATGAGCATGCTTCCAGTAATACTCTTTTCAGGAGCTCTCTACAAGCCTGTTTCTGCAGAAACAATTAGGATATGGTGGAGTTCCACTTCTCTGTGGCCTCTGCTGCTTATATATTAATTGTCAGTTTTTAATACTTAGAAATGATAATGAGCAGAAATTTTGAGCTATTAAATCAAAAACAGTGGTTTGTTTTAGTAGCTGCCATAGCACTGGATATGAAAACAACATATGAGGATTAGCCATGCACATTTTCAGAGCTGAAGCCTTGAACTTGGTTTCCTAGACTAGTTGTGGATACGAGCTATTACAGAGGCAGCACACTCAGTCCCTGGCATGAATTGGAACATCTTACATCAATCTCCAGAGACTCCCTTTGTCTAACACAGGGAGGAAAGGGAACCACATCCATCTTTGCTGACTAAGGGCCTGATCCAGAGACTGCTGAAGTTAATGAAAAGATTTCCATTGACTAATGGACTTAAAATCAGACTCTTGTGGAAATGATGTAATGCCATGGTGGGGTCCTTGAGGTTGGGGGGCTGGGAAGGAAATAAAGGATAAGAGAAGGGAACCCTGAAGAAAAAAAATACCCTTCAGTGGGATCCTTAAACTGTCAATGGGTTGTTTTTGTTTTTTTTTCAGTTGCTGAATCTAACATTAGTCTTTGTAACTCTCTCTCTCCCAGTTTTGCCTCTTCTTGTTTTGGTAGCCAAGGTTGTTCCTTCTTTAAAAAAAATGGTCCAGATCATTCCTCTATTTCTTTCTGAAAAATGTAGATATTGATGCTCACATAAGATTATTTAAGATCAAAAAAAGTAACAACTGAGAGCACCTGTTAATAGGGCTGGCCAGAAAACAAGAATTCCATTAGTGGACATTTTTGAAGTTTTGAAATTTGTTTTTATTCCACCTCAGAACATAAATGCAACCTTTCAAAATTGTCCGTAAAAAAATGAGAGAGAGAGAGAAAGAGGAACTCTTTCCCCTCTTGGCAAATGATAGCCAATAGTCCATTGGTTAGACACTTACCTGCAAAGTAAGAGACCTGATGTTGGTCCTGTTGTACCTGATTTGGAACAGGGACTTGAATCATTGTTTCCCACAGCCCAGTGTCCTACCCACTAGGTTATAGACTCAGCCGGTCTCAATTTCTCCTGTTTGAACTGTTCCATTTTGTATAAATTAAATATTCATGTGGCCAGCACAAGAGAGACTGATTTTATAGCTTGATGGTTAGGGAACTCTCTTTGGATATCTGCGATCTACGTTCAAAACTGTGTCTGTGAAAAGTTTTGGTTTTGACAAATTGGCATTTTCCAACTCAAAGTTTATTCAAAAAGTTGCTCACCATCCCTACTTGTGAAGCAAAGCCTATCTAGGGCTCTGTTTAGCTTGAATAATAATCATGGACATATTCAGTACAAGGTTCTCTAGATTTACAAAGTTAGGGTGGAATTATATGGAGTCTGGGGCTGCTCAGGGTATATATTGCGTCATATTTGGCTCTCATTTACTCTGGATCCACCCTGGTGTAACTTCATTGACTTCAGTGGAGTTCCTCACTGTTTACATTGATGGACTGAGAGCAGAATTTGGTGTGCAGTATCCTGTAGCCAAAGCAAAGACTTCAGTCACAAGTGCTGTCAATCTGGCACCTTTCTTAAGTGTTGAATTCACTTAAAATAATACTCCAGAAGAGCTGTTACACAGATGAGTTCTACAGGTTCAAATATAAGTGTAAATAATGAACTAAGGAAAAAGACATTCCTAGAAAGCCTCCGTTTTCGTAAACAACAACAGTTGTTTCCCTTTTATTGCTTGAGAAAATATTTTATTGTTGAAAGTTCATTTCTATTTTTGTCAATTTATGCTGTTTCCAAATTGACCAGAAATGCATGAGTCAATGTGCTTTATAGTTGTCAGTTCACCTACTGATACATAGGGAGATTGGGGGAAAGAATATACCCCAAATACACAGATTTAATAACCATCAATTGTGTTATCCATGTGAAGCTTCCCTGCAATCAATGGGAGGATAGAGTTGTTGATATTCACTACATCATTTTAAGAATAAAAAAGCCCAGAGGAATTTGTATACCATAAAGTGTTTATAATCTGCATTTACTCTTGTGATAAAGAGGATGTGCACTGATGATTTGCATTTGGACTCTTGACATTGGACATTGAAGAAATCACTTAAAACTTTGAGGTACCAAAAATAGCTGAGCTGAGGGCTATGTTGTCAGTTTGCTAGGAGTCCAATCCTTAATGTGCACTAAAATAAGAAGATTGAAGCTCCTCTCAGGTTTAATACAGAGAGGTATGATTTGATACAAGGCTAGAGAGCCAACATGTGATGTGCAAAGGCCTCAGTTTGAATTAGACTGGGATTTATAGTCTGTGTGGGCCACACTTCTCCCTTTAACGTAAGGTTAGTGGTCGGAAACATGGTCTGATTATGAAGGTCATAATTTGGCCATTCCAATTTAAAAGGATACAAGCATAAAGTCTTTGACAGATTTATGACATTTTAAAACCTTATGTAGAAGTAATTACTTTAAAAAAAAGATGTAATAAATCATGGTGTTTGGGGATTTGGTAAATTATTTAGATTGTAAAAACCTGAAGTGAAATGATAGAATGCTGAAATTTGAATTCCCATTGGCTACGAGTTGGTCTTGTCTTTTATATTAAATCCCTCTCTTGAGTATAAAGCCTTTTAGAATGCTAACAAAATTCTCTCCAAGAATATTGAAACTTTTACATAACTTCAGAGCTCATTCCAATAATAGCTTTAAGGATTCATTTTCCAATTTACAGCTTTGGATATTTACAGTGTTTATCAGGCCAGTGTCTTTCAGGTGAGCCAACCCTGTTATTAAGTACGGATCTCCATCAGTTAAGCTGACTAATTTAAAACTGGGCATCTTTTCATTTAGGACTAATTCAACTGATTTCAAGACAGCAATGTTAACATACTCTGTTTCCAAGAGATTTCTTAATGTGTCCCAGAGCTTGATTTTTTCTGTGCAGTGTTTCTAACAAAATATTAATAGTTCTGTGGTTTTTGCTTTATTCCCTGCTTCTTTCATTTGACGTAGTGATACAACCTTAAGGTGAGAGAACTTGTCTTTTGTTACTTATATGTCTGCTTTTTACAATGTTTGTGTGGGTGTGTTTTCCTTTACATAGAGTAAATATGTCCTGTAATTTAAATGCATGGTAACTGCATGTTGATCTAACATCTACTCAGAATAAGTTTTATTGACAATGTGTATATATAAAAACATGCAAAACTCTGAGCCAGTTTTTAATCTCATTTACTCAGATGTAATTCCAAGGTAATTCCGTTGAGAAGAATGGTACTCCCCTTTATCTCCATTGTTGTGACTGAAATTTGAATCTGGCCCTCTGTTATTATTATTTTATTATTAGAACAAATTTTAGCTGGCAAATTACTGACCGTGACCAGAGTCCCAGGGGAGCCAGCTGAGGTCACTCAATCAGGGTGAACTGAAAGAATTGGGCAAGCAATCCCCAAAGCTGGTCCAATACTTAGATTGACCAAGCCAACACAAAATAGCTTCTATAATTACCCAGAAGACAAGAACACAGTTCCCTTGAGGTAACCCAGCCTTAGGCCTCCACCCAGACACTCAAGTCAAATATGATGAGGATTACTGAAAATCTTATTCATCATATAAAAAAGTTCTACCAATTCCAAAGGATCGGACACATCTCCCAGGTTAATGAATATTCCAGATCTTACCCAATACACGCTTACAGCAACTTCTTATTAACTGAACTAAAATTTATTTAAAATTTATTTAAAAAAAAGAGAGAGTATTGGTTATAAAATCAATATACATACAGATATGAGTACAATTCTTGAGATTCAGATTAATAGCAGAGATGGTGAGCTTTGTAGTTGCAAAGAGTTTTTTCATAATTAGTCCATGGGTATAGACCAATGTTCATATTCAGGGTATTCCAGCGTAGGACTGGGATCTCAGCCTTACAATTTAAGCTTCCCCTGCATGAAACATCAAGCATGTCTGAGATGACAGGATCAGGACCCAAGGGTCTTTTATACAGTTTTCTAGCAGCCACTTGACCATACAGTCTTGGGTGAACAATAGGCTTTTGATGTAACCTTCTGTTTCCTATATCTCACCAGTAATTAACTACATGGATTAACATAAAATAATTTATCCATTAAGCAGTTTATCACAAACTTTAACGAGATATATAAACAATGAGTCATCTAAATGTTACTATTCCATTTTGATCTCTGAATCAATAGCTATAGTGACAGACAGGAACTGTATGCTTACATGGCTAGCATTTAGGATATAAGTAAACACACACAATTAATATCACCTCTAATTCTCTAACAATACAGGTTTTCACTTCTAAATTCTAGCCTATCTAGCATAGAATGGCCCTCGTTACCATTTCTGACATGGCTCAACAGGTTGACTCTGGGTCAATTAGCCTGCAGGATGTTTAACCCTTTCTGGGCACATGTCACACTTTGTATAAGATTTGTTGCAATTATATGACAGTAATAGCAATAATGACTTGCATGGTTATATTTTAATCAGATAATGTCACACTGGCCCTCTGTTATTATTATTTATTATTAGAACAAATTTTAGCTGGCAGTCATAATAGACATGAGAAACCAGCTGTAATCCAGAAGAATAGTTCTGGATTACAGCTGGTTTCTCATGTCTTTAAACAACCTGGATTACACAAAGCAGATGTCAACAATTTGCAGGGATATATTATGACTGCCAGCTAAAATTTGTTCTAATAATAAAATAATAATAACAGAGGGCCAGTGTGACATTATCTGATTAAAATATAACCATGCAAGTCATTATTGCTATTACTGTCATATAATTGCAACAAATCTTATACAAAGTGTGACATGTGCCCAGAAAGGGTTAAACATCCTGCAGGCTAATTGACCCAGAGTCAACCTGTTGAGCCATGTCAGAAATGGTAACAAGGGCCATTCTATGCTAGATAGGCTAGAATTTAGAAGTGAAAACCTGTATTGTTAGAGAATTAGAGGTGATATTAATTGTGTGTGTTTACTTATATCCTAAATGCTAGCCATGTAAGCATACAGTTCCTGTCTGTCACTATAGCTATTGAAGAAGAATAGTTTAGCAGGTTGGGGGAAAGTAAAGGAGTACAGATTGTGTGGCTATCTTTGCAGAGGCTACAGAATCCTTCTGAAAATATTGATGATCATCAACTGCCTCACACGCAAGACATGAATCTGTAGTTAGGTTTAAGAAAATGAATTATATTTATTCTGTAATTTATCTATAATAGTAATTTTTAAACATGATGACCAAAACTTCAGGCTTGTTTGCCAGAAGTTAGGCACCGAAAGCAATATTTAGGCACCTAAATAGATGGTGATATCTACCTCTGAAAATCAGGCTGTCTAAATATGGTTTAGGTGTCTGACTTTAAGCAGCCAAGTTTGAAAATTTTGGCTCCTATACTTATGCTACATTATGGAGATGTAACCAGTCAAGGTCTTTGAAAAGATTGACCTGACCCTACAACCCTTACTGACATGAGTAGGCCCTGCACGTACTTCCATGTTTGAAGGATCATATCTTACAGGAGATGCCTGTACATATCAAGCAGCATATACAGATGATATTGATATGTCTCCTTTATGTGGTAAAAAGCAAAAAAGCTAAACTTTTCAAACTGCCTAAAGTTAGGCACCTCAACTCATATGTAGTCACATAAATAATAGCTTGTATATATTTATACACATATATGCAAGACATATATATGCATGTCTCTGGTGTATATAATGCCTGACATGCATAGATGTGAATTTATGTGTATATAAATATCTAAAATGTGGAAGTTAGCATGACCTATGTTAGAGAAGAGCACCATATTCCATTTTCCTGTCTTTAAATATTTAGCTAATCTACCATATGATTTGCATTGTATTAAGGTGTGTAAAAATTAGAATGCACACTTAATTCCTTGAGCATAGGACTGAAAATTTACATCACTAGTACTGTTAAACCTCTGTCTGCAGTTTGTCTGACAAGATCTGTTTCATTTAGCACTTCAATGGTGTCATTGGAACACATCTATAAAAGTGCTCCTGATCACAATAGCATGCAGTGACAAACCCCAAAGACTTTTCTGTATCTCTCTCAGTTGTACTGCAGTAAGAGCTTCTGTAGGACAAATGAAAGTCTGTTTTTTATCTCTGTATGTTGGGGACTGATATAGTAAATGTAATTTAAATATTAATTTGATGATGGGTCAGGTGAATTTTGTCAGCCAATCAAAGGGTGGGGACATTAAAAATGCATATGTATATATGTATACTTACAGTATACATTATATATAGATAAATGCAATTTATAGAAAGGGTGGTTAAACTCTTGCCTGAAATGAAAATCTGTTCTCCAAGCTAATCAGAGTACAGCTTTTCAGTAATGGTATAGTAAGGACAATGGTATCAGAAAACAGCAGATAAAACTACAGCATCTACATCATTAATTATTTGTCATAATAGAAATCAAGTAAATGGACTAGAAAGTTGCCACAGAATGTCTTCCACTTAGAAAGTAAATGTCTTATTATGTGTGTGGCGGCATTGGACAATTACTTTGTGAGTGTTCAGTTCTATTGCATAATCTCTGTGGTCTGGATTCTGATACTTTTATTCATGGTAAATAACCCCTTACTCCACAAGTGAGAAACCATTCATTCAACTAGAGCATGAATATCAGAATCTGGTACTTTCTTATGTACACCTAAGTCATACCATCAAACCAAATCTATAACTCTGACATACACTTCTTAAAACTTAAAATATTTGAAACCCACCTTTCCAAGTAAACACCTTCCACAGAAACACTAGAGCTTCAACACACTTTCATGTTGCTCTCTGTTTTTCACCAGTTGGCACTAGCTGGTTGAACTCTTGTGGGACATAGCAAAAGTGGATCAGAGGCTTTGAAGTTAATGCTACACAGCACATTCAAAATGTTCAGGCAAATTGTTGAGTTTGAGATGCTACATTTACTATTTAAGGTGGCTCTTCTTCCTAATATAGAGGGGCAGTAGAGCAGTCAAATATTTAATGGGGAGCTCAATGAAATAGTTACTTTAACAGTCCCAGACTCTTGGATAAAATCCCCTTATGTTTTTGAAGTGGACCATTTGATGAAAGGGAATTGGGTTTGTCCAAACATAAAGACACTGTGGCAGAAAAGAAAGAATATGAAATGAAAAATTATGATTAAAGAATCAAGACTTTAAATCTTCATGTAAATATTTAACCTCACCTGTAGTCAATAATCTATAATATAGATCCTGGTTATCTCATTAGAGTCAGAATAAATTATTAATGCTAAAAGACTTGGCCAGTTGAGAGATGGCAAAGCGCTATTATGCAGTGATTGCAGGGAACACAAATTTAAAAATAATGGGAGAGGAATTTATATTTGAAAGGCATGGGAGGTGGCGAAGCTCTGTTGCCCCATGTTATTCTTCACCCCCCCCACCAACCATGTAACTTCTTTAGCCATGCGACTTCTCATATTTGTGATCATTATTGTGAGTAAATGTAAAAGCGAACAATGTATAACTTTTAAGGGGTGTTGATATTGCCGTCTGTTGGATAAGTCTGTTGCAATTTGCTTTCTGGCCTGAATATGGCTGATAAGGTAGTGTAACTGTGCAATACTGATTTTTGCAGTTGGATGAAGAAGCCTCGATGTGGTGTGCCTGACCAGAGAAGAGGTAACTCCAAGTTTAACATTCGTCGAAAACGATATGCATTAACAGGACAGAAATGGCAACACAAACATATCACTTACAGGTACAAAAAAATCAATAAACCTTTTGGTGATATCACTAAGCATTTTATTAAAAGAAAACAAATGTTTTTTTAAGATATTATTTTCTAAATGTGTACTATGCATTGTCCAGATGTTGATGTGTGGTATAAAAATATTGATTTCAGTATCCCTGGAGTAACTAATCACATGCTGCAAAAGCACAGAATGAGTTTCTTGGATTTAAATTGTCTGCATTTAAACAGAATGTTCTTTGAAGCTTGCAGCACCAAATTAACCTCCAATGTCCCCCCAACTGTACCTTTCAACCCACTTGGCAACTTCTCAGGAAAAGTCACTTTGAATGCAGGAACAGTCTAATGGAATTGGGGGCTCTAATTTAAATATGCAAATTAGGTCATTGGAGGGAGGCAGTAACTGCAAATGCAGGTGCCTGCAGGTCTATTTCAAAATATAAATGAATTTCATTAAATTTTGGTGAGTCAGTTACACAGCCGTCTCATGCTCACATAGTAATAGGCATGGGGGCATGTATGTATCAGTGAAACTCTCAATCTGACTTGCAATTTACAGGATGTGTTGCATGCTGTATCAAAGCTGACCTTGGCTTGGCAAATAAAATATATTATGCAAAAATATGTACCTGCTGTTAGTGCTGTCAGCCAAAAAGCGTCATGTGTACACAGTATGTGGCCCAAAAAATTGTCAGCAAAGCAGAGATTTGTATGTAGTCCTCTAGAAATTTATCATAATCTGTTCAGGATTATGGGATCTACCACGGCACTGAATGTTCTCTGGGATAAAATTCATTGACCAGCTATTTACAGTACTATATGATGCATAGATTTTAAGACCAGAATGGACCTTTATGATCATCTAGCCTGACCTCCTGCATAACATGAGTCATAGAATTTTACCCAGTAATTCCTTTATCAATCCCATATTTTCTGGTTGGATGGCTTTCAAAAAAGCATTCTCAATCTTGATTTAAAGACTTCAAGTGATGGGGGAATCCCCCATATCATCAGTGAGTTGTTCCAGTAGATAAGTAACTCGTGTTTTTATTGCTGAGTATTGTAGTCTATGGGAATTGAAGGTGCTTAGCACCTAGCAGAAGTATGTCTAAATATATTATTTTACATTTATCCACATTTTTAACTTCTTAATCTAGGGATTTAAATGGGAAGTGTGTGTGTGTGTGTGTGTTTAACATTCTTCCTCTTCATTTGTAATCCCAAATCTCAAATCAGTAGGCCTGGTTCTCCACCCTATTACACCATTTTGATACCACTGTTAAGTACTGCAACTGAAATATCATTCTGTTCTGCCACCCAAGACATTAATCATGAAAGCAGTACAAAGGGGGATCCCAAGATTAATCTGTTTGGTAACCCTCTAGTAACCTTTCTAGCTTGAAGAATTTATGGCTGTTCTTTGCTTCCTGCCCTTTTTCCAAAAATTTCACTCTGCTGTGTCACCTTATCATATGCCTCTGCCATTTAACATTAACCTCCAGATCAAACTTTGCCAGAAGTTTTCTAAAATTGAAGTTTTCTAAAATTTCAATACTCCACTGTTAGTAGCAAGCACTACTTTCCTTTCAAATGAAAATCAGCATGAGTTCACAGAACATAATTGCTATAGATTGGACATTCAAAAGTGTTCAGCTTCTGGGAGTTTTACTATTGACTTCAGTGGGAGCAGAATGAGGCCATCATCACGTCCTTGACATCTAAAAACATTGTAGTCCAAAGCTTGGCTAGGCTCCACATTGTGCTAATGTGGGTTTCTTCTTGAGATCCAGCCTCTGACCCACACGCAGCAGAACTGCATCAGTTCCAATGCTAAGAGGGCCCCTGACCCGCAGAGGTGAGGACCGGATTTACCCTTGTTAACTTTCTGGATAGTGGTTTCTAGATTATATCCTCAGGTGCTGTGTTTAAATCAAATATTTATGGTTTTTTTTAATTGTCAGATATTTTCTAATAGTAAAATATAATTGAGATCATATGTAGATGCATAGAAATGTAGGTCTGAAAGGGACCTCGAGAGATCATCTAGTCCAGTTCACTGAGGCAGGAACAAATGTACCTAGACCAGGGGTCGGCATCCTTTCAGAAGTCGTGTCCCGAGTCTTCATTTATTCACTCTAATTTAAGGTTTCACGTGCCAGTAATACATTTTAACGTTTTTAGAAGGTCTCTTTCTATAAGTCTTTAATATATAACTAAACTATTGTTGTATGTAAAGTAAATAAGTTTTTTAAAATGTTTAAGAAGCTTCATTTAAAATTAAATTAAAATGCAGAGCCCCCCGGACTGGTGGCCAGGACCCGGGCAGTGTGAGTGCTGCTGAAAATCAGCTCGCGTACTGCCTTTGGCACACGTGCCATAGGTTGTCTACCCCGATTTAGACCATCCCTGACAGATGTTTGTCCAACCTGTTCCATTCCATAATCTCCCTTAAAATCCTATTTCCTTGCTTAAATATCCTTATAGTTAGAAAATTTTTCTAATGGCTAATCTATACCTCCCCTGCTGCAGATTAATTCCATTACTTCTTGTCCTATCTTAAAGGGACACAAAGATCAGTTGATCACTATCTCTTTTTAACAGCACTCAACATATTTGAAGACTGCTATCAGGTCCCCTCTCAGTCTTCTTTTCTCAAGTGTAAATGTGCCCAGTTTTTTTAACATTTCTTCATAGGTCAGGTTTTCTAACTATTTTTGTTGCTCTCCTCTGGACTCTCTCCAATTTGTCTACATCTTTCATAAAGTGTGGTGCCCAGAACTGGACACAGTATGCTAGCTGAGGCCTTGCCAATGCCAAGTAGAGCAGGACAATTACCTCAATTAACACAAGTGTCTTACATATGACACTTGTGTTAATACACCCCAGAAGGATATTACCCTTTTTTGCAACTGCATCACAATGTTGGCTCATATCAGGTTTGTGATCCACTATAACCTACCTGTCCTTTTCAGCACCAACTAGCCAGTTATTTCTCTTTTGTCATTTGCATTTGATTCTACTTCCCTAAGTGTAGTACTTTACACTTGTCATTATTGAATTCCATTTTGTTGATTTCAGACCAATTCTGCAATTTTTTCAAGGCCCTTTTGAATTCTAATCCTGTCATCCAAACTGTTTGCAACCCTTCCCATCTTGGTGTTACCTGCAAATCTAATAAACATAATCTCCACACCATTATCCAAGTCATTAATGAAAATATTGACTACTACTAGACCCAAGAAAGATTCCAGCAGGACCCACTAGATATGTCCTACCCAGTTTGACAGCTAACTATGGATAACTACTCTTTTGAGTATGGTTTTTCTACCAGTTGTGCACCCACTTTTATAGTTACTTCATCTAGACCACATTTCCCTAATTTATGTATGACAATGTTGTGTCAAAAGCCTTATTAAAATCAAGATATGTTGCATCTGCTGCTTTCCCCTAATCTACTATCCCAGTAAGCGTGTCAAAGAAGGAAATTAGGTTTGTTTGGCATGGTTTATTCTTGAAAAATCTTGTGTTGGTAATTACTTATCACCCTAATAACTCCTAAATTCATACAAATTGATGGTTTAAAAATTTGTTTTGGTATCTTTTTTCAAGTATTGAAGTTAGGCTGACTAATCTATAATTCACCAGGTCTTATTTTCTCCCCTTTTTAAAGATAGGAGCTATGTTTGCCGTTCTCCAGTCCTCAGGGATCTTACTCCAGGAGTTCTCTAAGATAATTGCTAGTGGTTCCAAGATTACTTCAGTTAGTTCCTTAAGTATTCTAAGGTGCATTTCATCAGGCCCTGCCAACTTCAATATGTATATTCTTTAACCTGCTCTTTCCCTATTTTGGCTTGAGTTCCTTCCCATTTCCTGGTAATATTAATTGTGCTAAGTATCTGGTTACAAGTTACCTTTTTAGTGAAGACTGATGCAAAATAGGCATTAAACACCCCCACCTTCTTGATAGTATCCATTTTTAGATCTTCTTCCCCACTAAGTATAGGACCTACACTTTCTTTCATCTTTCACTTGCTCCTAATATACTTATAGAACCTCTTCATATTGCCTTTTTTGTCCCTTGATAGGTTTAACTCATTTTGTACCTTAGCCTTTCTTCTTTTGTCCCTATGTGCTTGTGCTATTCTTTTGTGCTCCTCCTTAGTAATTTCTCTGTTTCACTTTTTATAGTATTCCTTTTTGATTTTTCTGGTCGTTAGAGCTGCTGATGGAACCATATTAGCCTCTTACTATTCTTCCTATCTTTCCTTTGCATTGAGATAATTTGCAGTTGTACTTTTAATATTGTCTCTTTAAGAAACTGCCAGGTCTCCTGAATTGCTTTTTTCCCTTAAATTACCTCCAAATGGGATCTTATCTACGAGTTATGAAGTTTTTAAAGTCTGCTTTTTTGAAATCCCATCGTCCTTATTCAACTGTTCTCACTCCTTCCTGTCTTTAGAATCACAAAATCTGTCATTTCATGATCACTTGCACCCAAATTGCCTTCCTCCATCAGATTCTCAACCAATTCCTCTGTTAGTCAGAATCCAGTCTAAAATGGCCGGCCTCACAGGTTACTTCCTCCACCTTCTGAAACAAGAAGTTGTCCCCAATACATCCCAAGAACTTATTGGACATGTTTACCTGTGTCTTTTGTCTTTCTTTCTGTATTTTCTCTTTGTCACTGTTATTTTGGCCCCAAGAACTTTAGGCCAAACTTTTGGAACTTTCTTCTGGCACCCATGTTGAATTTAAATAAATTAATGCAACTGGAAACAAGGAGCGGGGAAGACAAGCTCAGATAGGTAGGTTTGGAGAAGTAACAGTGGAAAATATTACTGGTATTATATCATTTTTGAACTTGTATACCACTAAAACAATTCTGCTTTTATCTACTATAATTTTAGACATCTAGGTGCTGCAGTTTACAAAAACTGATTGAGTGCAGTATCAGAAGGTGAATAGAATTGAGTCACTGCTGAATGGATCCTTTGGTCCATTCTACTGTA